CTGACGACAGACCCGTTAGAAGATAGTACGAAACTTCAGCAAAACTAATTGAGGCACACGTTCATAATCAGGAAAATGTTCTCTGCTGCGGTAAGTACCGTTGCATGGCACAAATCAGCGACATGCATTTCTAACAGCCAGGCAGCATATTTTACCTACGCTGTTGATCAAGCTTTTTTAGCCGTAATGGCGATGATAATGACACTATAAGCAGTTAGCATAATTGGTCATCGTTATGTGTATTACACCACATGAAAAAAAAACATTTTAACGCTTTTCAACAGTGACGCCAACATATTCGAAGCAAAGTCTCGTAAATTGATCAGTATACTTATTTTAAAATATCGACGTCGAGCATAAGGCCAAGATTCTCGACGATGTTATCATTCAAAAGAGCATCTACCGCTTCTTCCAGATGTCGTTTTGGATCTTTCTTGCCAAAATTTTTAACGAGCAGCTCTTGCGTCGACATCTTCTCTTCGTCTTCCAGCGACTGCAAAAATTATGACGTGAAAACTTTGCAAAGCATGATATCACATGTTAATTTTGTTTAGAGCACTACGTCGTATGCGGCATAGGAAAATCAACTTCTGAAGTTAATATCGAAATTGTGTTATGGGTGACTGACTAACTGAAGTACCTGTTTTATAGTTCTACAGTAAACAACTTTTCGCCGACGACGAGACACTACCCGTCATTAGACAGTCTGGGAGATTACGGTCAGCAGTCCTGTCGAATCGTCCCAGTAATGCTGATGAAGACCGCTGTTAGGAGACCTCGATATAATCATGCAATCTTCTGGAAGGGGCATTTTAGTTATGTCCAGATTTTCACTTTTTGCTAACTGCCAGTTGAACAGCATATGACATTCGATATGTGCCGCTGTTTTGCGCGATACTGCGGACGAACTTGGGCAGCTGCGAAACTCACGAATAAAACGGTACACGAGGAAACCAACAACATAACAAATCCACAAGTGCAACAAGGCGATGATGCAGCAGAGGATGTTGGCATTAGAGACATTTCACCATCTCCAGCAACAATGTTGATCAAATTGCATTAAAATATGTCTGCCAATCGCTCTTGGCTCGTATCTTCACTAATCCATTCAATACTCAATCCGGCAATGGAACAACTATCCGCTTTTAGAGAACTGCTTAAATGTTTGCACCGTGAGGGATTCAACGTAAAGTATGTCAAGTGTCAGAACCACGTGTTTCTGGTTGGTGTACAGCCCGGTGCTTGCTTGATAATCCTTGATTATTGCGTGGATACGAATGGTAGATTTGTGAGGCATCAGAAATGGCTAAAATAAGCACGATTCGACTTTTTCGATTTTGGATCGGTTGTAGGAACGGCAACTCTCGTGTTGATTTATATATAAAGGCATGCGCCATAGTCTTTTAAGCTATTACAGTGAGGAACGACTTCTCAGGAGTGAAATCATGCACCTTTCATCTACTTTCCATTCATCTACCTTCCATCTACTTCGCATTGTCCATTATGAACACTTTCTTCGAGCATCGAAAAGTGCATCAGTACACCTGGTACCGGGAAGCTTGT